GTGATGGCTGTACACAGGCATGTGAGGCTCAGGTGTGGCCTGGGAACTCCCTTCGGCGGTTGAATAGCTGGAAGGTACCTATGGCATGATCGATGCGCTGAGTTCCACAAAACAAGACTGATGCAGCTATAACAAGCGGTAACAATGACAATGAAGCTAAGCGACAGTTCAGTACAACTGCCGATGCGGTAAAGCCGATAAGTCGGACGCAATGCTACAGAAAACAGAGCAAGCTCTCTCTCTCTCTCTGATGATAGATATTTTAGTCATATCCATTTAAACTTATTGAATGGTTTAGAAAACTTCGTGGTTTCAACCGCTTCTCGGAAGATGGTTTGGCTTTAAGATGATACAGTGAATAGAAAGGCGCGTAACGTGACAGACACCTATAGTGGAATTGTTCAGAACCTGAGCACATGATCTCAGCGTGACCCAGTTATCGCTAATGTGTGGGACTGTATTATGCCGCCATTCTCGGATGCACAGCACTGCCCAGTATGCCCAGTCAACAATAGTTGAGCAGTTTCGTGGTTTTTCGTCAGCAATCTATCCGCTGTCTCTTAATGAACGTCCCGTAAATTTTTGCATTTAATTATTTAAGCATATCTGCTTAAATGTGGTCAGACACACAGTTGATGGCAAGGTCACGAAGCAGTAAATCCTTCACATGCTCTTTGCCGAAGGTTTTTTGACGCCTGCTGTGGTCTTTGAAAATGCCAAAATTTCAACTCCCTATTTTTGGGTCACCAAGCTGGACAACAGCATCAGTAGCTAGGGCAAAATTCTACGTAAGAATTTATACCTTCTCTGGATAACTACTATTGACCGGGGCATCTAGTATGCAGGACAGCAGTTAAGTAGGAAGTAATGAAACTCTCCAGACTAGTGGCCTCTACACGAAAGGGTCTCCATTGAGGTTAATAATGCATAATAATTTACACTGCCATGTTTTAGGACGTTTACGTATTGGACGTAAAATGAGGGGTTATGGTGCGACCACTTTGCAATGAAAAGGGATGGGCTGAAGAGCTTAATAACATTAGTTTATATAAGAACCAGAAGTTTCCCCATAAGTGGAGCGAATGTGTAATGCTGCTGGTCTGTGAACATTACTGAATTTGTCTCATTAGGCTTCTCCAGCCCACTAGTCTGCCAAGACAGACTTTGGTCAATCCACGTAATTTTGGACAATAAAGAATGCTAATTTCCCCTCTTCAGGGCAGTAGCCTCTTCTTTCTTGAATCTATTTTTTGAAGTAACTGAAATTCACGTTAGAAAATCCCAACTACGCTGAAACTAAACTCGCTTTTGCTGCGGGAGTTTGCCCATCTGATGAGCCTCAAGAAGTGTGAAACTAGTAGTCGGCTGTGAGGCTGTTTTCTCCAACCGTATAGGTAATACGCTACGCCAGAAACACAGTACGGTAATCCTTCTCATGTTATGGAAATCTTAGTGAACGTCTCAACTTCGGCTGCCTCAGAGATGGAGGCGAGCTTAAGGTGAGCAGTGAAAACTCACTCACTGGCATCATCATCATCATCGACTTAGTGCTGGCTCAACACAATCATTCCGAGGTGCCTACACCTCCAGACATTCACTCAGGCAATCTGGATAGAAACTGACAACAAGAACGCCACTGACATTGGGTGGCAGCCAAATCTCACAGTGTCTCCAACCAGGCACAGTGAGGATCACGCGGTCCCCATCCTGGAAGGCGAGTAGCACCGACAGCACCCAAGCGTTTCGTGAATCTCCTTCGACTCCTCTGCCAAGTCAAGGGTTGCCAGCTCTCCGTTTACTCAACCACTGGGGTGCGGTTTATGTCGGATTTTGAAATTTAAGCACCCGTCGGATATCAGAAAACAGGTCGCTAACAAGTGCAACCTTTACCACTATAGGGGTGAAATAACGCGTCTATGGGAGGTCCCGATAACTGGATATGGTCCTGTTGAATTCAGTTATTTGAAATGGATAGCTCAGTCACTGTTTCAGTGGTCCGCAAGAAATTAATAATCGAACCCAGAGTTCGCTACGGTAATTTGCACCGATCAGTTCGGGAATCACACCGGCAGTCTGCAAAACCCTTCCATTGAATATTGCCGTCGTAACCTTATGTGCACTGACTAGCAGTGACTAGCAGCCTTACATGTTAGCTGCACTAGAAACTCTCTTCCAGACTTCCTTCGTTATTTCCACCGCACTCCTGACTCGTGTATAATAACTATGTTCAGTAAAGAAATAAAGCAGTAGAAAATGTCATTAGGTTTCTTTATTCAAGTGGTGAGGTAAATGCACGTGTATAAAGTTCAGTAATGAACCTTAAGCAACCATTGTGTTACATAGCCATTTACTGTATTGTTTTGTTTCATGTTGAACATTTTGGTATTAACTAAGATAAAGCTCTCTAACTGATCAAGTCCTTTGAAAGTATCACCCCTCAGTTGGATTTTTTTCTACCCTTTAATTGAAAAAAGTCATCTCTCCACCTACCATCTTCCGGCAAAAAACCCTCAACAATAAAGTAGTCAAACTACTTCCGGCAAAATAGGCACGATTTCATAACAAATATAGCAGTCGGATGCCAAAAGTTTATAATGAGTCTCGACCGGAACAGAAATATGGTATTGCAGTTAGAAATGCTATCCTTCTGTGAACACACTGATCGCTTTTCAAGTGTTCTTGTCCTACTGAAAGGATATTCGCATTCATTGGGTGGGTCGGCCACCCAACAGCGCACTGTAGGTGTCTCCTCGAATGGTGACGAAACATTTGCAAATCGATTGCCAGGCTCGGGATCATATTAATGGCCACCCGACCAATCACTAATGAATGCACCCGAGCTATCAATATTCCAACACATTAACATTATTCGCATTCCTAAGGATACACGTCCTCAGATCAAGTTTACTCAGCTGTCCCGATATGGTCAAGAAAGAAGTCCCTCTATCGGGATGGATTCCGGTTTCTTCGTTCCTTGCAATCCATTAATACGAACGGTCACTTGTAACATCAGGTCCCATCTTTCCTTAGACCCTATGAAAAGATTTAGGTTTTCTCATTGGCTAGATTCATGTGTTCTACTTGTTTAAAATGACAACAGTCAGTCTGTAATATTTAGACGATTTTGCACTTTACATAATTGTCATAAAGTATAAGAATTCAGTATCATAGGCTATCTCCTCTGACTACAGAAACTGCTTTGGGTAGCGACGTCTCTTCAGCTCTCCCAAAAGTTTCCTTACTGGATGGCTGTATCATTATGCCTAAAATGCAGTGCCGATCAGTTGTCACCGTTTTTCACATGAATCCCCAATTTCGTGGAGTAGTGTGACTAAAGTGGCTCCACTAACTGTAGTTACCGGAGCACCTTGGGAAAAAATGATGTAGGAGTACTTTCCACCGAGACGTGCTCATTGGGGAATAGTCACTTTCACGAAACTGACTATATCCAGTGAAATCATAATCAAAGAACAACTTCCTGCTAAACCAAAGATCACACATTTTTCTTTCCAGGATGATCGATTGACCCCTCAAAATCAAAAAGAACAATGGACTTACACTATTCCATCGGGTAAGGTCTAGTAGCTGGGATCATAGACCTCCTGATAATCCACATTGTTTTCTTTTCTTTCCAGGATGATTGATTGACTCCTCAAAATCAAAAAGCACAATGGACTTACACTATTCCATTGGGTAAGGTCTAGTAGCTGGGAACATAGACCTCCTGATAATCCACATTGTTTTATCGATAAATCGAAACTCATGAACTCTGGTTCTTAGTCACTTTAAACTTGACTGCACAAAAACAATCGACTTCAATCACCCAGAGGACGGACTGGCAGGTTCACGACACTGTCGCAGCTACCCAGAATCAGTACTGCGCACTTGTAGGATTCCTCCGATACGGTGCAAAATGTTCCATCAATTACAAAACTTTTCTAAACAGCCGAATACCACTACAGTTCTGAAATCGTGCTATAGGATTATATTATGCCTATTGATAACTCCACCAGCGAGTAACCACTCCCCCGCCAATTGAGCGTATATTTTTGTCTCCCCCTAGTTGGTGCTGTACTTCGAGGAAACTTTTATCATCCCTGAGTGACCAAGGCAGCACTGCAACTCGGATAGAGATATGGCTATTCAGGATATTTAAGTGCCAATATTAGATTCTTCATGTACCACCAGGCTTACCAGTGCATCTGACAACAGCAACCAGGTTCACTTCATATAAGTGGAATAAAAATTCGTGTTATTTGCATCAAGACTTGGAGATCATGAACTGCAGCGAGCTCATGCTGAGAAGAAGAAGTACTGTTCGCCCGACTTCCCCGTGTAAAATATTCCCGGTTCACACCTCATGCGTCTTCAGTTTGAATCGAACATCAACCAGCGTTTTGAAATTGTCTTTGTGTGGTAAGGGATCATGGGAAAACAAGTTGGTTAGAAAAACATAGAGCAACTTTGCAACAGTAAGAATAACAGAGGAATAATTACATACAATGTGAAGTTACGTGGACAAATGATTCACGCGATTCAATGTTAACCTGACCTTCTTTAGTCTTGTTTTCTGGCAACTGTAACCCGGTGCCTGATAAACTTACGATATCTACATGCCTTATGGTGTCATCCACTGAACACGCAACTCTTGTTCTGGCATGTTTGTATGTTTTATGGAAGGCAGGCATTTGGAGCCTGTAATCCTCTCAGTCCGCAGTAGCCGTAGGAGCTGTCAGAAAAATTTTATTGATGCAATCATCTACGGTCATGTATCCTCACCCTACACCGAATCGGATTACTTCTTTCATTTGTAGTAATACGATATGGCGTGTCACGCTTCCAATCGTAGCACACCTATGGGTGTTACCCAGCTGATGATTGGCGATCTAAATTGTGCGCAACGACCAACTCATGTGATCGATTCGGAAGAATTGCCGAAGATTAATCGTTCTCGTGCGCACGTGTATTCTTGAGTGTGAGTGTGCAAATGCTGAATGGCACTGAAGTTGATCATTTGGTGTATTAACGTATGTTCGTTATGACTAAACCGACTCAAAAAACAGTGACATCATCAGTTCGTGTTGAAAACAAAAACACGTGTCTGCCTACACGCAGTTGAGGGAAGCGATGGATTTCCCTGCTACTGAATGAAGACAAACAACGTACCACATAACAAAGAATGCTTAGCGAATTAGACACTGATCGGTCAGCGACGCTTGAGAGAAGCCCGACCTGTGATAACTTATCACAATCCAATCAACCACTCTCTATGTCTAGTTTGACTTTACCCCAGCCCAAACAAAGAGAGGCGCAAATGAGGGAGATCGACGAACTGGAAAAATCGGAGGTAAGTTACCGTTTTTCGGGTCTTATATCTTGACTGTATAAAAAGTATACGTCGATAGCCTTTTCGTTTTATGTTCCTTCAACACTTGGAGCGGCACTTTCATCAATGGTCAGTTACTCGGTCACGGGAAAGTTTAGTAGAGTTTTGTGACGAAATGACGATATCTATGCAAAGATTACCTGAAGATTTTCATCACACTTTACTGGACTATGCATGCTTTAAACTAATCGGTTTCACACAAATGCTCATCGAATAACAAGAACTGCATGACTTCTTCCCCATTTTGAAGCACCCGTTCATGAGACTCTTTACTGACAGAGAATAGCCTGTGATATAGTCCTTTTATAGAAGACTCCTTCCTCAGAAGCCCTATGGTCCCGAAACAATCGCATTACTGTTCCCATGGAAACGGTGCATCATTCAAGAGTTTGTATCACTATGTTCTTCATAACAAGAACACAGATGGGTTCATGAACATGTTTTCGCAAGGTCTTTTCAAGTCATACAACTGCCAAGTTTAAGCGAGCAGTATCTAACATATTTGAATGAGTATGATGTACATGGGGCAGCAAATCGAGTGAGTCGACATTGGCTACCTATCAAAGAACAATTAGTTCATGTCATCGATAGGATGACTTGAGCTTGCAGCGCGGGGGGGTTGCTATAGTCGTGTGTTCAGCACAAAGTGCATGTTTGGGGGAGGTGAGTTGGACCATGGTAAGTACACTACCCGAACAAAGAGTTTTGCCGACAAAGGATCGGGTCACGATGTCGTATGGCGATAGATTCAGCCACTGCGATTGTGCGTTGCTGTACTGTTTAGCCGGTGCCCTGTAAACAACGCGGAATCTTTGGCTGAGTATCACGTTGTGTGCAGCGTCAGCTGAATGTTGCACTACAGAGCTGGTAATCGTCCTCCTAGTTCCAGAAGCTAACCAGGGTGGATTGTGTTCCTTCATTCTTTGACCGAGTTAGCTAGTCGTCCATCCGATATATTTCGCTGCACAGTAGCAAGAGAATGAGTATACTAACATATTTTGGGCGTGGACAGGCACTCTATCCTTGAGATTAAAGGAGCACAAAGGATTGCTTGTGAACCAGGTTCGGAGTGTTGTGGGGGAGAAGACTTTGTTCAGACTGGTAGAAAGTCTTCTGTTCAGTAGGTCGGTCGGTGTATCTCCCTCGAACGGGAGGCCAATGTAAACTGGTTTCCTCCCAACTGTGGCTGTGATGGTGTTTGCTTCCTCCCTGTTCAGATGTTTTGTAGTAAACTTGTCGGGGAATCCATTGTCTCTCAGGACGTTGGTGAGAGTTCGGAATTCTTGTTCCAACGCTTTACCAGGGCATATTTTCTTCGCTCTGTTAGTTAGAATATGGATCAGGTTCCGTTTCTACTTTAGCGGCACGAAGCTGTTAAAGTTAATGTATTGCTGGACAAAGTAGGGTTTTGGTATGCCGATCGTTTCAGTGTACCATCGTGACGTCGTTCAAGGCCAACATCTAGGAAGTGGAAGAAGTTGTCGGTTTCTCCTTCCGAAGTTAATTGAATGTTGCTGTGGGTCTTGTTGAACTGTTGTTGGAGCAATTCCAATTCGGCTTTATTTTTAACAACAGCGAAGAGGTCGTCTATATATCGGCAGTAATATTGCATATTCTCCGTGCTAGCCTTTAAGGGATCATTTTCAAGTTTACAACAGCGAAGAGGTCGTCTATATATATATCGGCAGATTGCATATTCTCCGTGCTAGCCTTTAAGGGATCATTTTCAAGTTTACATATGAAAATGTCGGCTAGCAGTAACTTTAGCTAACTTTAACTATTTGTTCCCTGATAGGTAGCCAGTGTCGTTTCACTCGACTTCCTGCCCACGTGCACCATACTCATTCAAATATGTTGAATACTGCTCGCGATTAAATGACTTGAGAAGATCTTGCCGAAAACATATTCGTCAACCCATCTGTGGTCTTATTATAAATAGGAATTTTCGGAATATTACGCACTTCTCCATAACAATAAATATTACAAAATATTTTGGAAAACGTTCTTTCGATGGCTAGCGCTTGGAGAGGCCGGCGGCAACGAAACATGATTCTCCAATTCGGTGGTTCATTCTGGTCGATTTACTTTAAGAATCGCGCGCAGTAGCACCTGTCCAAACGTCGCATTGGCAAACTGCGATGTTCTACTTCTGAGGATTTTTAGCCACTGTATGAGTTGTGTGTCAGGTTTCGAGCAGTCGTATCTTTGCTAGAAAGGCTTCAATCCCTTTTAATGTATACAATTTTCACTTAGTCCTTGACTGTCAGTCACCTTATCCGGTGAGAAATTTGGGTTGATGAGGGTTTTCATTACGACACACATACCCGTTTTAGTGACATGGGTTGACTAGTATAAACCAAGCCTCAGACAGACCGAGTTGTTTGCACCACATCCGGAGATAGATAGCAAATTCCCGATACGATCTTTCCCTTCACTATTGTTTGTCTTTGCACAAAATCTTCCACGGATATCTCTACCCGATTGCAATCCCAGAAAAATTCAGGTTCATGGCTCGTGTCGTTCTCACTTGCACGCTCTGTTGTAACTCTATCCCGATCGCATTCTGTAAAACAACTCCCTTGATTTGTCATGATTACATCATCTAACCAAAACGACGCATTCTAGAGTAGTATTCTCACGAAAGCCAACCAGTAATGCACGTCCTCACGTGTATCGGTCAGCTGACACGTCAAGTGAGTGACTTTGTTCATGAATATACGAACACGTACCAAGTTTATGTCTACTGGATGAGGTAGTGTGTTGTAGAAGATTGATTTTCGGTCTGCCATACCGTCCCGATCCAGTATCTGCCCTGACTAACCATGCCGATGACACAAAGATAATATATTTTATATTGTCACTGTGTTCCAAAGCACCGTCACCAGTTGTATGTCGTAAATTCCGGCAAAATATGCCACAGGCAGTACTTTCGTACTTCGACTAGACTGGAACCCTATTCATGGTGCATTCCCTAATAGATGCTAAGTCTATTAATATAAAGAATCTTTGTACATTAATAAGAGGACATTAAACCATGTTTGACTCAACACTTTTTGCACTTCTAAAGTACTTCTAAAAGGATAAATACTTTTTTTCATCTGGAGCACAATGTGAAGAGCACTACAACTCGGTTTTCGCTGGCCTTCTAATGGTATGAAAATTCAGAGGCTAATTTGAATAGGTTACCTTCCGATTGTTCCCAAATCTATGATTTCTTGGGACCCACATCTCACCGGTGACTCAACCACAACTTTGTCTTTGCCAGAATCTTAAATCCTCTCTGCTAAGCCGCTCAGAGACAAGTGAAAGAGCTTATGGATGTTTCTTGAATCAAAGTATTTCATTCCAAGTATAGGGTAAACTTTTATTCAGTTGGGTACTGCCTATGTAAACGCAGGGCAAAAACGATCGATGAGAACTTCTTGGCCCATCCATTCTAGTGGAGCCGTTAGAAAACTACCGATTCCCTCCCTCTGATGGTATGCCATTTCTGAAATGGGGAAAGGAAGCTTGATGTAATGTAGATATCTTGAAATCTCGTCCTACAGTACTGATTAATTAAATCTGAAGCTGAAAAGCCGAACAGCACTGTAGTGCCATTCCACCTTTGTCGGGAACCACAAGCGGCGCACACCTCACTAATCTCCAGAAAAACTCTGACTTGTGAGATTCCGGTCACAGGTTGAACTGATTTGGTAGGACATCGAAAAATTCAGTCATCAGGGGCTGACTAGTAGTTTGTATGCCTTGTGCTTAGATTGAAGTTAGCGCCTTCACCCTCTTATCGCAAACTTTGCTTCATATGATCCAGTACTAACTTGCTTCTCAAGTGGAAACATCACAGAAAAGAGGGGCAAACATCGTTTTGTGGATTTTTTCCTTTTCTGACCGGATTACTTACAGTTTGTAGGGTGAATATTTCTCTGTTGCCATTTGAGACTGTACAAAATTGAGACACTGAAACACATGAATCCTCACGTGGTTTTCGACTCGGTTTGGAAGTGTGAACCTAAGGTTACAGGTGCTTCGTTTTCAAAGGATTTCCTCTGAATAATGTGGTGTTTATTCCAACCTGAGTCCTATAAAGTGAAGCACTTCAGAGACAAGCCAGTCAGCTCTGCAGTCCACACACTGGACACGAGCTAACGTGTGAGTTCGATAGGAAATTTCAAAGCTGTACAAACAAAATGGATGGTACCTCTTTTGATACCCCTTATTCTGAGGCTAGTTGAATGTATGATAAGAAGTTCTTTTCAGGCTAAAACTTCATTCAGACCATGAAACCCGCTTCTCTTTTCGACTTTATTAGGTTCATTCGAAATACCAGAGGAATTGTATAATATTTGTTAGTTTACTTGGTGAACAGATCAAGAATTTACGTTACACCAGAAATCACGTGACAGAGTTATGTAAAAGTCATGAATGCACTATCTCTAGTGAACGGAGAAAAACTTAAGGGGAAGAAGGGCTGAATGGGATGTACATGGATCATTGAGTCACGAAATCAAGTGAGCAACTTCTATGCCAGACAAGTTTGTGGGACCGGATTCTTCGCAGGCCAGCTCATATACAGAGGCCGCACAATTTTCTATTGAAAGCAAATCTGTGGGCGATGGAGTCGGATTGCAGTCTCCTCTGTGGACACTAATAGTCTGGATGGTATCGGCCGTGATCGATTCATAGGTAGCCGGTGTGGGACGTGGAAGTTGTGCTTTTCGTTGATGAATTGGCTGATTTCGGCCAGATATGATGGGATTGCACTTGAGCCCTGTTTCTTCCAACTACCATTCGGAGAAACGGAATTGACTAAGTTTCAGTTCCAGCATCATTGTCAGGTCCCGCTTAAGGGACAAACTGCGACCAACAGCTTCTCTTAGTGTGCTCCTGCCCAGCGTCATTCATTTAACCTACAATAGGACGTTTGTGGGAGAGAATGCGAGCATACAATTCCGTTTCTCCGA